GTTACAAGGATAACGATGAGAAGGAACACAATTGCAGATGGGGACATGGCTGCGGACTCGACGGGCATAACTGACGAGACCGTAAGGATCCGCAAAAAGAAGGACATCACCTTATTCGGGGCTGCCTCATCTGTGGCAAGGAAGGCTGCGAGCTCGGAAGGTCGTCGCTTCGATCGGGGGCTTGCCTTCCCAGCCTAGGAAGTGCATCTGGCCTTTATTCCAGGTAAGTTCTCACAAATTAAAATATAAAAAAAACCTACGCTCCGGGGCACAACCCCTACTTGCTATAGCGCGAGATACATCGCTCCTCTTCTAGTTCTATAACCCTCGCTTTCTCCCTCTTTCCGCTACGGATCGAGTAAGGTAAGCTCGCTCCCACCTCTTCATCTCCTCCTTCCGCCATAGCTTGGCGCAAACCGTTCTCTCTGTAGCTCCTTTTTTTCTAACCTTTGGCAATTTCCGGCTTCGAAATCATGTTCGCGTTTCTCCAAAAACCCCACCTTCCTTCTTTCCTGACTCGATTTAGTCAAGAATAAGGTGAGTTCGAGCATTCTTCTCTGTTCTCACCTCCGAACGTACCTAGCGCGAAATCGCGTCCAGGTTCCCTCTTTTCCACCCTGGTTGCCCGTCCTCCCCGCCTCTGCACATGCACTATTCTCCCTCCGCCATGCACGGTCACATCTCCCTTATTCCCTATCTACCCCGCTTTCGCCTTCTTTCCCATCACTTTCTTCGAATGAATCTGGCGTGATTTTCACGCCCGGTGCATTCGCTCCCTTCCCGTTATTTTCCTCCCCTGCGCACAGTTTCTATCCATCATGTCTCATGGCCTAACTACTAACACAAAAAACTAAGCTCATAATCTAACTCGCCTACCCTCAAAATGCTAGGATCGACCCCCCTTTCGCCCGTTTCTGCTACGGAACGAGCGAGCAAACGTTCTCCTTCTGTCATCTCCCCTCACCCGTAGCCATGTTTACGCAGGCGTCTCTCATTGTTTTCCCTTTACACTAATCCTCCTGCTATTCTGACACTCCTAATGGATTCGCCCCATGCCCGAACCAGAAGTTTCCATCTTCTTTCACTCTATTCCGTGGAGAATCGAGTGAGGTATCGATTCTTCTCTTCCTCTTATTCACTCCGCCATGGCTTCACGCACCACCTTTCCCGTGCACCGCCCCACTCACCATCCCATTGCCCGTTCTGACTGCACCATCCGCCTCGCAGCTCCACAAAACCCTAGTTTAGCCTTTTACTTCGCTCGATTTCATCAAAAATCGAGCGAGGTATCAAACTTTTCCACTTCTCCTATAGCTCGTTCTCCGTATCCGTCACTACTCCTGCGCCTGACAGCGCACAGCGCCTCACTGCGTTGGTGCTCTCCGCTCTCCCTCTTCACCCGCTCCGGTCTACAGCCCCGGTACTTCCCTGTGCGCTATCGCACCGCCCGCTGCTCCCTAGCACTGCTGCCGCTGCTCCTGCTCGTCGCCCTTTTCCTCCTCGCTGAAGCCAACTGGGACTAGTGCCCCGCATGCATCCTACACAGGATCCTGCCTAGATCCGGCCGCCTGTCCTTACCACCCCGTCGGCTTCGGCCCTGCCTCCCCGGCTCCGCTGTCGGGCCCTTCTCTGACTTAAGCGTATCATCCTTGCGCAGGAGCGGTGCTAAGCTTCTCTGCATCGTTCCAGTTTTGACGGATGTCCCGAAGGACCCGACCGGAGCAGCGCTCCCACGACAACCCCGTAGCCACCCCCGTGCAGTGCCACTTTAACAGATGCCCCGAAGGCCCCGGCCGCGGTAACACCCCGCCGTAGAGCGCTGCCCGACCTAAGGGAAACTTCGGAATGAGCCAGCTACAAGGCGGTTCGATTCGTCTTTCGCCGCTATACTTAGGCCCCTACGGGTGGACTGCATGGTAGTGCTACAACCACCCCTGCCGTAAATACCCCCGGCGTACCGCGCACACTCGGGCCGCGGTGCCCATCGCGCCCGCGACCAATTCCCGATCATCCGGGTCCCATACGGCCAGCCCTTAATCAGGCGGCTAGTCACACGGACTGCCGCTTACGGCGTGCCCTGCTGAGTAGCCTATCGCGGGCCTTGGCGAGCTAGGCCCGACGCCCCTTCCGCGATGGCCGCAAATATTCAAATGAGAACTTTGAAGCACGAAACGGAGGAAAATTCCGCAGGTATACTCACACCTGTAGAGGGTCCCTGCCACTCAGGTTTCTCCCGCCTCGTGGGCTTATCACCTACCGGCTCGCATGCACGTCGAACTCCTCGGACCGTACTTTGAAGGCGGCGACATAGATGAATTTCTGCCAACATTCCGAATACGCAGGGATCCATTGGGCCTGTCAAAAGAGGTGCGTGCTCATGGCCCCCTACTGCCGTTCCGACCATCTGCGTCTGTCAACGCAACAACTGGGCCAGGTCCGTCGGTCCCGGCATCGGCCCAAGGACCGATCACCAGCAAAGTCAAAAATTAAAAATAAAGCGGAACACAAAAATTAAGCAAAACCAGGCCGTCGCCCCGCCAGGCTTTGGGTGTCGCGCACCCGTTTATCATGCAGAAGTCCCGTCGTTGTCGAAGCCGGCGTTGGGGTCGTTCTCCGCATGCGCGCTCGGCTCGGTCAAATGTACCAATAAAAAAAATATATCCTTAATTCTTGCTTAATCAAAAATAAATAAATAATAATAATATCACCAAGCAAAAACGAACGAGGTCCGGGCCGGCTTTGCGACCAACAACAGAAAAGAATCACGTGCGCCTTAAACCTGCGCGCCCACGCACTCGCTATTGTGGTCAACCATCAAGTCAACGTAAATCACAGACGCAGCCATGCCTTGCGAGGTATACTTAAACTTTAAACCAAAACTACTTTCTGTCACTCGCAAAAACCAGGGCGGATACCCTCGTACGGGTATTCTCGCCGACAGCTTACCGAACCATATTAAGCGACGCCGTCGTCCCTTCGCCAAATTAGAAGGCTATAAATCCATCCACACTCCAAATGCTGACGAGAAAGGAGCCAATCCGATTAGCCGACAAACACAGGGTAGAGGAGCCAATCCGATTAGCCGACAAACACAGGGTAGAGGCCTCCATCAAAACATGCCTGCACAACTATATGCTGCCAGGTTTTTAACCTGGGTCTCTCACCGCCTAGAAATTAGGACGCTGACCGCATAAGTTTCAAAGACCTTCCCAATCGTCCTCTCCCCGTTGCTAGACAACCTTCGGTTTCTCGTTGGGTGTCCCTAGTCCTGGCAAAAAGTAGGGACGCGGGCCTTAATCGAGGCCTTTTGAAGACACTCTCGCCTTCCTTCTCAAATCTCTCGCAATCAAATACACATAAGTATATATGTATACATAATACCCGCTCAGCTCTTTCTGCAGTCTAGTACAGAAAGGCTAGGTCTCCACCTTGGCCCACCATAGCCTGGCTGATCGGTCAAGGACCACGACCCACCGCATTGTTATTTAGCAGCAGTACCCTCGTTGGTTACGTAACGATAGGTTTTTCTCCTGATAAGCATTCAAGCAGGATTTCCCCTAAAAATTCTCAACCATCACTATCCCGTGGAGTAATTTCACTTGGGCGGGCACCCCCACTTAAACTCTTACCCACGCGGTTCCGCAACCAGGTTGCGCCGGCTAGCAGCCATCCAATGAGGTTACGCACTACAGGTACTAACTTCTTTTCCGTTAGCTTTGCCTTTCTTCAATATGTCTCAGAATTAGCACTCGTGGTTAGACGGGGCGTTGCAAAACAAAATCACTGGCCCATTGCGCGATACGCAGGGGTTCGAAGGCATTTACCAACCCTCCCTCACTAGGCAAAGCATCCTTCGCACGCTTACAAAGAAAATTACTGCTAAATCCACCAGGCCGTGACCCCTGACTTGATCAGAGCCAGCGGCCACCCACCCTGAGACATCTCTCGCCATGCACTCATTGCGACTTTTTCAAACATTCCAAACAAAAGTGACCCTTTTCGTCAGACTTTTATCACCCATCAGACAACTTTCCATGCTATAAATCAGTTTACTCACTTTTGAAGGTGAGTCTTCCAACAAGAAAAACATCCCATTTTCCATAAATCCAAGAGGTTCTCATCATAAACAAAACACCCCCTCTTCCAAAACTCACGAGGGGTCTCGCCACAGAACAAAACACCCCCTCTTCCAAAAAATCACGAGGGGACTCGCCATAAAACGATACACTCCCTCTACCAGAAATCACGAGGGGTCTCGCCATAAAAACCAAACTTCCCCTCCTCAAAACTCAAGGGGGTCTCATCTTAACACACAACGTCACAAAACATCCCCGTTTCCAAAATCCAAGGGGGCTTATCATAAACAAAATCACCGAGAGACCATCTTATGGGTCATCATCACAACTTAGGCAATCAATCATCAACATGGTAAGCATTTTGAGCCTCTAGGGCTCACAGATCTTCAAAATCCTCACAACCTTTCACAGACGGGCTGCGCTTCCTCCCCTTATACTCTGCCCTATCAGCTGCCCGTGGGCATGTCGCACAAGTATACCGAGGGGTAGACAATTTTGCTTACAATCATATTCACATTACCCAAGACACAAAAAAGGTTTTTCACACATTGTCCACACAAACTCATCATACATCAAAGCACAACCACACATGTGAGAGAGACAGGTGATCGTCACTTATAAGAATGGTTCCTGGAAAAATTTCATCATAATATACACTCAGAGAAATAAAATGTCTCACACAGAAAAAGTTTCAAAATCATAGCTCACTCAACTCAAGCCACACCAAACCCACACTGACAATTATCGTTGAAATACATGTCAGATCTGTCTCTCAAAGCGAGTGCGTAGACCACCTTAATATGTACATGCCTCATCTAGATCACCCTGAATCTCAAGACCCCAGCTTAGTAGGAACACTAGAGTTCAGATCTAGACTAGTAACAATCATAAAAAAGGTCATTTAAGTCTAAGAGGGTATCACACAGAACCTAAGCTGATGCCTCACAAGATACTCGTCCAATTACATAGACAAACCGACCTTACCTCCTCAACTCCTCCTGGTTTTGCCTATATAACTGAGCCCTAAGTCCATCTGCGGACTTCTCTACTATCCTACCCTGTCTATCATACATCTTACCCCCTGCCTCGGAGACCTTCCCTCATGCCTTATCTTCAAGGAACTCGAGACAGTCCAGAGCCAGATGCATGCCCCTCTTGTAGTAGAAGCATAGCTGATCAACCTTCCTCTTGAACTTCTTCTTCCTGGACTGAGGAGGTGGCGATGAAGGAGATTCTACCAAGGTACTGACCATTCCCTCCTGCTCTGATCGAGGGGTTGTGGTACTAACAACCTCCTGCTTCTCCATCCCAGGAGTCGGTCCCCCAAACCCAGATCCAGTAGCCCAAGATCCCAGTCTGCTCCTCAAATCCCCTGTCGCAGGAACGTACTCAGGTGTGTCCAACCTCTGAGGTCTCCTCTCGAGAGTCTTTCCTGGCACTGCCATGGGCTGCTCCTCAATCTCCTCTGGTCCATACTCAGGTGTGCCCAACCTCTGGAGCCCGCCCTCGATGGCACCCTCCGCCTCAATCTCCATCTCTCTCTCAAGAGGCTCCTCTATACTCTGCTCGGGTGAAAACAAACTCACCTCTTCCTGCATAGTATGCACCGCCTCAAGGAGCACACTCATGAATCCCCCTGCTGAGCCTTGAGCCGGCTCACTGCTAGATGGTGGCCGCCCCTCCTCTACTGGCAAAGGTACGACTGGGCCCGCCGCCGCCACTGGTAGCGTCGCGACCTCGGTAGGGGCTCTGAACTCGAATGCCTTTCTCTCCGCCTGTCTCTGGGCTCTCGCCTCCTCTGGCTCTAGGAAAACCCTCCCCATAGGTGGCCCCTGGCGAGGCTCTGCTGCAGATGGCTATCCTGGCAATCCATGTCCTGGCTGCCTCTGCTCTTCCTGCCTGCTGCTCCTTGGCTTGTCCACCTTTCTCTAGGTTTGCTGCCTCAGGCTCTCAATGATAGCTGCCTGGCTGGCCACCAATGCCATGAGTTCTTGGATTTCCATCTCCATAGCCTCCAGGCGTACTCCATGGCTTGCTTCCTTTATCTTTTTCCTTGCCAGATCGCCTTCCAATAACAAGTGTCCATCAAAAGTTGTTTTGGCCAGAGACTTGATTTTGCGATCTAACCTCTCTCCCGTCTTCTTGGCCTCCCCAAGCCCGGCTCTGACTGGCGAAGGAAGCTCCTTTCCTCTCTGCTCCCAGAAGTCCCTCCACATCTCAGGGATTTCCAGGGCCCTAGCTAGCGCGCTGGGTGGTTGACCAGGGAGTGCTCCTGCTGCCTCCGATCTCTGCCTCTCCTGCTGCTGCTCCGGAAGCTCCCCCGCTGCCTTCAACCTCTGCCTCTCTTGCCATATCTCGTCTATCCTCCTGGTTCTTCTCGTCCTCTTTTCCTCTGATGTCTTTTCAGCTGACGCCCTTTCCCTTGTGCGGAGGTCGACCCTCTTCGGGATCCCTGCCTCCATCTCCTTCTCGGGATGGCACGACTCCTGGCGCGGCTCTGCAGGTGCTCACTCTTCCAGGTCTGGATGCTCCAGGGCATGAACTGGTAGGTGCCTGTCAATCAGGGTCAAGGCTTCTCTCCTTACAGCTGCCCTTTCTCTCCTCCTTTCTGCTCTCCCTTCTGGCGAAGGGGCCTTTTCTGATGAAGGTCTCCTCTCTCTGCAACCTCTCCCCTGCCTGGTAAGTGCTCCCTGGTGCATCCCCGAGTCTCAAACCCATCGCTGGCGTCTGTGGGGGCGTGCCCTCTCCAACCTCTATCACTTCCTTCCCTTCACGTCTCCCCTCATCGCCCAGCCCTCTCTCTCGCCAAGTATCCTGGACCTCCTCTCGTGGCACCTCCTCTCGTGGTACCTCCTCTCGTGGTACCTCCTCTTCCTGCTCTCCATGCTCCTCACCCCGAGGCGACGCCCTCCACTGAGAGATATCCAAATGCGACTCCAACTCCCTCAAGGGCCCCTCAAATGCTGGCGGCTCCTCCTGTGTGTGTGCTAGCGACCTCCTCAAACCACCCTCGAATCTGCCGACTCCCCTCAGCCTCTCAATCCCCTGGGTCACAGTCCAACCCATACGCCGAGCATGCTCCCAAAAGTTGTCTAGGAATAGCTCGATATCACCACCGTCGTACTCTAGAGTGCTCTCTCGATGACGAGGCCCATGCCGTTCATATCCCCCTGATGCGCCCAACGGCCTTTGAGGCGGCCGTGTCCCCTTCCCTCCTCTTGGCATGGCTGTCTTCGTAAAGTCAGACCTGCACAACAGGCGAAGGAGACAACAGGCACACATTGGGGTGAGCAAAAAATGTGATAATGAAAGCAAGCTCAGACGAGGCCATACTCATGCAACATGCATCCTATTTTACTTCCATTCTAAAGGCAGTCAGGTCATTTCTCTTACCTCTTCTCTCGCCATAAATTTCTTCAGTCGCGTCCCAGATACCCAATCCTTTCACTCAGTCCCATTTAGCTCTTCAATCTGGTATGCTCCGAAGTCTCCACCCGTACGATCCGGTAGAGACCTAACCACCTCTTATCGAGTTTCCTGGACCACTGCTTCTCCAAAGATGAATCATAGAGGAGCACGACATCCCCAACTGCCAAAGGTACTTTCCTCACCCGCGCAGACTGATCCCATCGAGTCTTATCATCCATTCGGCTTCTCGCTACCTGATCAGACGCCTCCTGGATCCTTTCTTCTATCGCCCCTATCTGCCGCGCACGAATATCGAGTAGTTCTTCGAATGACAGACTAACTTCCAGGCACCTCCATGTCTTAAAAAAACTCTCGATAGGGAAGGTGGCGTGCCTTCCATACCACAGCGTCTCCGGTGCGTACTTGGTGGATCTTTTTACTGTAATGTTCTCGACAAAGAACGACGCTCTTAGGTATCTTGGCCATTGATTAGGCCTACCTTCGGTCCACTTAGCCAGGAGGCTCGTAATGGTACTATGTCCTCTCTCCACGGGAGCATTTGCCCGGGGGTGCGCGGCCGTGGTGTAGTTGGCTGATACACCATACCTTGATAACAATTCTTGCACCTCCTGGCAGGTAAACTCCGATCCCCTGTCCATTACGAATTCCCTGACCAAAGGATAGTGTAGATAGTACTTCTCGATGCAGCTTACCAAGACTGACCCGGTCTTTGTGCGAATATCACGCCCGTCTTCGAAGCTAGACAGGTTATCGCGCGCATCCAAGATATAGTTATAGCCCTGATCCCCAAGCGGCATAAAAAGTAGATTGAGATGCACTACAACCCCCACCTCTCGCTCTAGCCTCGGATGCAGCGGCTCTCCATGCCTTAAACGGTATCTCTCCTGGCAGGGTACGCAAGATCGGTAGAACTTCCCGACCATGTCCATCATCTCATCCCAGTAGTACAACTCACTTATCTTGGCATACGTGGCTTGTACCCCTCGATGCCCTCCTGCAATGTCATCATGAAGCACTGCTACGACGTCGATCTAACGATTCTTACTGCGAACGACTCTCATGGGATTCCCCATCTCTCTTCTCACGAAAAGGTGGTCGTCTCGTACTAAATAGCGCTGCAGCATCCTCTGAGCCCTATCGCTTGCATCCCTTAGCCGCATTTCACATGACAGAAGAAGCCTCAACTCTAGGTAGATCCCGTCATACTCCTCTGCACAAAAAACCTCCTTAATTTCCCCCTCCTCGAACTCGTCGTTCTGGCTCCCGGGCACTTCGCTCACATTCCATGCCGGGTTCAACGAGACTGACTAGTCAAGGCTTTCCTGCAATAACATGTTGACGAGGAGATACATTCCTCCCATCAGGTCCTCATGTCGTTCTACCTGGCCAGACCCTTCCTCAATCATCCTCATGTTCTCAACCAGACTATGCAAACTGGCTAGCGCTAACTCCATCATCCACTGAATATCCTTACCACCCCTAGGGATCCTCTTCCTCAAATGGTTTGAGGACTAGCTCGGCCCTCCTTTCATTTTTATTCGGCGCTTGCCAGATAGGATAGCCTACACAGCTGGGTCCTCGCGGCGACCACTTGTTGATATGAAGACGAAGATCTTCTTCCTGGTCCTGATATGAAGTCGCAATTTGACCTTGACCGGGTCCCGGCAAGGAGGACGTGCTTCCTCCTCCCTGGGAGCTGTCGCTTTAACGCCTTTAATGGCGCCGACACAAAACCGCTCAGTCTTGTCGAGGCGGTGACCCACCTCGGTTCCTACAGCGCCTACCAGCTCGCGAGCAAAGTCCCGAAATCCCAACCGTATCGAATGCACAACTATGTGCTGGCTCCTACTAAAGTCATATTGCTCCGCCTGAATTCGTGCCAGGCGTGCAACATTTCGAGTTATGACTCGCATTTGGGCTGGGAGTTCAGTCTGGGCGGCTAATTGCTTTTCTATCCTTTTTACCTCCTCTAATCATTCTGCCGCCTCCGCTGCCGCGTCCACTCTCCTCTTCTTCTCCCTTATCACTGCCAACCTCCATTCCATTCTCTTCTGATCTTCCATTGCCTGCCGCTTCACAACATTTTTTTCCTGATCGTCTCTAGAGATATACATCGCCACTTCTTCTTCTTCGCCCAGGGATAAGTTGATGACCTACTTTGAGATCTGCTTCTCCATCTCCTCATCCCTACTGCCACTGTATTGCTCCTTCTTCCTCTGCAGCGGCGTTTCATCTTCTTCCTCCTCTTCTACCTCTTTCAACTTCCTTTCCTCTTCTTTCTGTATCCTCTCCTTCTCTTTGGCCATCTCTTCTTCTATCTTCTTCAATTTGGCCGCCTGCTCCTCCTTCAAGGCCTTCTTCTTGGCCTCCTTCTTCTCCTTCCTCTCCTGCAAGATGGCGGCCATCTTCTCCTCCTCCTCCTTCGTGTATGGCTTGGTGGAGGCACCACCCCGGGTATCTACTCTACACGAGAAGGTGTGCCAGAACCCTAGAGGAAAGAGGAGACGCCAGAGGGCCTTCCAGAGGGAGAACCCAACGAGCAACCCATACATCGGATGGTCGTCCATCGTGGTGTTAGGTGCACGACAATGTCCCACTCCTCACCACTTAGACCTACCCGGACACACTAACCTACTGTCTGACTCTTTAAGATCCACTAGTCACAACTACTCTAAGGCTGTCACTACTGAACTAACAGCTGACCAGGAGGCATGTAAGGAGATCCCCCAAACTCCGCAAGAATTATTTAACGTCGCTGTCAGGACGACGTGATCAGCGTAGTTCTTCCTGGCGATTTGAGCCCACAACTTAACCGTTCTGGCCTACAGTGCCACAGCAAGCAGCCCGCCGGTCTATACCAGTCCTTGGAGGGGTTCGTATCCCTCGGGACAGTCGAGTCGTTAGACACATATCATCAGCCTTACTAGGTCCGGTAGGGGAGTGGTTCAACCAGGCATCAACACTTTAAGACGACATTCGTTTCAGCCTATAGCTCGGAGTTCGGACCCTCTACACTGAACTCAGTAGACTTGCCGGACAGTACCGGTCATTGGGCTAGACGAGTTGTTTAACGAGCGCTCGCCGCTCATGCCCAGGTTTCCAGATGCCATAGAAGAGATTAGTCCTACTAAGTCCCGTGCAGGTTGAGCAGCAAGGCCCTATCCTTCATCCACAGAGAGCTATAACCTAGGACAGAAGAGACTCAATGCAGAAAGGAAAGACAGACAAACTCAAACTCAACAAGTACCGTGGGGTAAGTGCCCATCCACAGGGTAAGGGGATAGGATAAGGGCTCAGCGAGATATCACCAACTCCAGCTTGGTCATAATCTTGGTTAGCAGCTTCGGTCAACGCCTTGGTCAACAATGAGTCAACGCGGGCAACCCCCCAGTCAACGCTTGGTCAACACCCTTGGTCAACGCGTAGTCAACCCTTGGTCAGCCCTGTGGTCAATGCTATGGTCAACGCCCGGTCAACCCTTCACTTCGGCTATGGCTGCCGGCACCATCACCTTCGTCACCGTGGCCGCTTACTTCCATTTCTCTTACTCTTCTTCTTCTTTACTTTCTCTGTTTTTTTTTTTTGTTGTTGTTTTTTTTTTTGTGTTCAGCCCCGGCTATGTCTGTCTTCTTCTCCAGCGTCCTCCTTCCACACTTCTCTTTCTCTCTCTCCTTAGTCCCGCCTTCTTTGTCCTCTCTGTCTTTCTCCTTCGGTGCCCTGTGATGAAGCTCCGCGACTATGGCCGCTATCTTCCTCCTTCGTCGGACAGCGCAACTCGCCTCACAGGTAAGTGACAACCAATCTTGGATCGCTCATCCCTCTCTCTCTCTCTCTCTCTCTCTCTCTCTCTCTCTCTCTCTCTCTCTCTCTCTCTCTCTCTCTCTCTCTCTCTCTCTCTCTCT